AAATTACTCATTAAAAGCTATTTAACTTGATCTGACTTATATATTATAGATATCTTCAACCTCTTTATATTATTAAATAGAAAAGAAAAGAAAAGAAATTGTACTCATTCATCGTTATATTCATTTCTTAAATCTTAGAACATTGCATGTATACTAATCAACAAAATTTCATTATATGAAGTACAACATAGAGTGATATTCTTGGGGAGTATATAATTCGTACTTATATAATTTAAATAAATTTAATAATTAAAGTAATATGAATCATATATATAGTGATTTTATCTACGCCACATCAATATTCTTAACAAATCGAGTTTTGTCAAAGTTAAGAAGTTTTGGGAGAAATTGTCAAATCATTCAAACATCGACTCACTAGTATTATATCTAGGTACACTACACTATATATACTTTATTAAATATAATGTTATATTCTAAATTCTAAGGAAATAGTTTGTTATTAATAGAGTACAAATAACGCAAAAATATCATGCGAAGAATCGCAACAGGAAGAAAATATCAACACAAAGTTGATAGAATAAGAATAAAGGAATTGATTAAATTGGGAAAAATTCTTCCAAATGAAATGATAGGCTAGCAGTGAAATTGAATCATATTTATATTTAGAGGTCCCCTTTAATCCATTTTTAGAGGTTGAAAATAATTAGACAGGTTGTTAAGACACTTACAATTCAAGAAAATTTGGATCGTGCTTCTTAGCTATATTTGATTTGATTTTCCTCAAAAAAGCTATTTGATTTGATTTGATACCATAACCAATAATATTTCACCTTCTTAATTGGGCCCCATCAAAACATTCGCCAAAATCTAACCAAATTCATGTTCACCATGAGCAACTATCATGATAGGGTGAATTTTTGAGATAGAAAACATATATTTTATATCAAAGTTGAATAGTTATTGAATAAAGAGGGAGTATATGCAAAAGTAGTTTGCAACATTTGAATTCTCAATGCAATGATAGAAAGATATTATAAAATCCTTAATCCATACTCTAATAGATTATATAATTAGCTAGGTGGATTGAATTGAGATGAGTCATTACATCTCATTAATAATTAATAGTCATAGAGTTGTTATTTTTTAATCAATGATTGTTAAAAGACGGTAATAATAGTAAAATACACTTTATCTTTAAGGGATTTTGTAGTTAATTATATACGAGGATAGGCGTGTTTGGTCATGAAGGTTTTAGGCTAAAAGAGAGGTTCGAGTTCTCTAATGTATGTATTTGATCGAGAGAGTTTTCAATACATACAAAATGCTTATTTTGAAAAGCTAATACTATGAGTTTTTATTAATTTTTTTTTATTATTATTTTTTTTATGAGAGATATATTTGGAATTTGGGAGGAAATGGCTCCTCTCCCCTAGAAATGATTAAGTCATTTTACATAATAAAGTAGATACCAGCTAATTAATTGGTATTTATTAAACACTTTTATAACATAAACGATTATAACGTAAGAATCTACTCAAATCAGCTCATATCATTTAATCAAATCAACTCATACAAACAACTACGGAGTAACACCTGACAATTCAAGTAACATCTTGTTAGCAAATTAGGTCTATCTCTTATAGTAATCCTTTCTTTGGTTTGTTCTACCACTACAAACTCCTATTTGAGATTGTTTGAAATTATTTTAATTATGATAATCTTTCCAATTTTAGTCTCACACATTCATATAGCAATGTTAATTCTATGTTTTTTTTTTTAATTTTTTTTTTTTTTTTTTTTTTTTTTTTTTTTTTTTTTGCGGGAATGTTAATTCTAAGTTAAAATGTCTTTCATTTCCTACCCTAAGTTTCCAATTCCAGGCATTGTTGACTTCATTAATGAATTCACACAACATTATGTTACAAGATTTTGATAAATCAGACTCTAGTCACTGTCACTCTACACACGATTCATATACCAAACATCAACTTTCATATGTTGCCACATGTCTCACTTTCAACCCCTTACTCTATTTTCTTCTATCTAAAAATAAAATTGTACACATTTTCTGAACTCTTCCACTTATTTTATTTTACTTCATTATTAATTGAATTTTAGTTCATAATCCAATTAGCTTTAATGCATCAGACTAATATTTTGAGAGAGAGCCCAATTTTATCACTTTAATTTAATATACAAAATTCGTTTATCAAGTGGTACAATAGTAAATAAATCAATAAAAATGTCTATTTATCACGCATTATTGTAATTATATTAACAATTATGGGCCCATTTATTTAATAAAAAGTTGTTGATTTATTTGCAGTTTTGTCATTGTTTAATTATCAAGGCCAGGTGATGAACTTGTATTTCTAATAATAACATTCTTCAAAACCGAAAAGATATTGATCAATGCTCATCGTGAGATAATGAGAACTTTCCAAAAAATATAAATATATAATATTAAAACCAACAACAATAATGAATTAATTTGTGCATCCTATATTACCCAAAACTAGCTGTATCATATGAAAATTGCAATTGAAGTTAGGATTCATAGGCACATTCATTCTAGGCATATGTGGTTATATATTGTTATCGTCGATTAGTTTGCTTGTTTATATTTTTATTTGAAATAATGTCATCTAACTCCATTTTGATTGTTCACAACTCCATATAAATAAATGATGACTATACATAAGACCACGACCAAGGAGAGTTTGTACCTATCTAATTAAATTAGACAATTAGTCAGATGTTACATGACTTAATAAGTTGAGGCTAGTTATCCTATAATAGAACTGTATATCGTGTGCAAGTTTTTCCCATACTTGTACATGAAAAGTACAAGGAACAACATAACGAGGGTAAAACATGAATTCCTAATAAACTTGATAAGCATCATGTTGCAGATAAATTGTGTTGCGGTGACAACGATTGGGTAAAAGAAAAACATATAATGATCATATTGAGATCTTATAATAAGTGCAAACTTTGAATCGATGACAACGATTGAAAGAGAACGAACCAAAATTTCTTTGTTCCACCTAATTGGATATATTGGCCCTCTACGTGTTATTGAAGCATCAAGCATGTGCTCACTCTTTACTACGAGTACATTTTATTAGATTTGATAGTTACCATAACTTTTTTTTTGATAGTTACCGTAACTTTGGTACCGTGTGATATTGTCAAATTGTGATTATGGCCTTTATATTTTGCTTTGTAGATTGTGGTTTACTTATTGATTTTGATTTATTGGATTACGAGTGCTAATTGGATTATTGGCTAAAACGGTCTTAGGCTCTGTTCACTTTACCTTATTTTTACTGAATTGAAATTATTTTTGTTGAGCTTAAATTATTTTTACTAAATTGAAATTAATTTTACTGAACTGAAATTATATTTCTTCTTTAGGGTTTTTTAAGTTGTTAGTACAGAGGTGATTGGGGCTGCACTTGTTAGGAAAGGCCGCGTGTTCGATCCCCCGCATCAACAATTGGGAGGGGACTGAAACATAACCATTCAAAATTGAGCCCCGAATCCGAATTAACTCAAAGGGTGAATCGGGTAGAACAAAAAAAAAAAAAAAAAAAAAAAAAAAAAAAAAAGAGAGAGAGAGAGAGAAAGTACTCTAGTTTTTCAAACGATGGAGTTTATTAAATGTCAATTTTAAATTTGTGCGTATCGTGAATTCATGATGTATATTGTATATGTGGCTTCAATTTCTGCCTCTTAAATAAAATGCTACTCATCGCTTATTATCCAAAAAAGAAAAAACCTAGGTTGCTAATTTGGGGTATGTATAGTAGTGTTTGTCTCAAAGATCAAAATACAGCATTATAGCCTATGAACTAGGTGAGTAAATGGGGACAAACATTGGCATATGCCTTAAGATATCCGTATTAAAAGGCCCACTAATTAGCTAATTTGATATATCCGTATTAAAAGGCCCACTAATTAGCTAAGTTGGATTAGGTAAAATGTTGTTATCACACATTGATGAAATTACTTAATCATCTTTCGTCTTTATACGAAGTTGGGAAACACATGACAACTTCTATGAACCTAAATATCTTCCAAAACTATCAACATCATTTAGTATGGTGATTTCGGGTAACATTAACGTGCATTGTGCATTGTACATTGTAACACAGCTAGATATCTTGATCTTGTATTCCATCCGTTTCATTTTGCCAGTGTAAAAGATAATGATGACTATATTATCATTATTATTACTCCGTATAATTTACTATTTATAATTTTGTGTTAATCCCTTGATTTACTCCTTTAGATTGATAGTCAAAACTATCTCTAAATCTTAGCTATGTACCTAATCAATTACTCAAATGTATCTAGTCGTATTTTATGGCCCACTCAACATTCTCATTCTCATAACTCTATCAGCCAATTCTGTTTAAAATCTTCATATGAATGAAAATGAGATCTTATATTCTGTCGATAAACAAAAAACATAATTCCAAATTTATTTGGCCTGCTTCGATGTGCATTTTAACAATGTTATTTATTAAATATTTTTAAAATTACGTTTTACTTTAGTTTGATTTGGAATTATGAGAATGATGTTGATTGCCAATCTTCCCCAAGACTTTTAGTTTTACTTTATTTTCTCAGTTGCAAAGAAACTCTTTTAGCCTTGTTTACAACTAATTACAAAAATTTATTTATTTACATACCAATGCCCTATGTGGTTAGTCGGGTGAAGTCGATGGTAAAGAGCTTATTTGACCAGCTGATTGTAACAGTTCGTTTCTAATTGATTACATTAGCTTATTCGTCAATTCATTAGTACAGATTGTAATAATCTTCTGGTAGAGGTTTGTAAGTTCATGTGACTTGCTACAAAGTGTAGCAGATTTCTTGTTTCCACACGAGCTTATTGGACTATACTTCGTCTAGTAACTTTACTAAATACCTGATAACAATATGCTCATTTGATATACTACTATCGTTTATTTTAATCTCATGTTAAAGTACGTATCAACATGAATTGTCACAAACAATGGATGAAATTATTATTGTTCAAAGCCTTTTTCATTTATTAGTAAGTAAAGTAGATCAATTCACATTAACCTTTTACATTGTATGCATAACTACAACCAACCCATAGACAATAATGACAAAACCCCTTACGATACAAAAATTACTCTCCTAGAGTATAAAACAGAGACGATAGAACAGCAGCTGAAGGTTATACGGAAATTTTTAAGATGTTAAATTCAACTGAAACAATTAGCCAAGAAAATAGAGTATCAGTGATCTAAACACCCGGTAGAATGTTGTCCCTGCAACAACCCCAGAAAAGAAACACACTACGAACAGTACAGCATCTTCAGGTTATGTCAACGCGCAACACTGCATCTTCTTTTCTAGACTTTCACCCAAAACAAAAAATACAGGATGACACTACAACACAAATTGCATCAACTTTGAAATAGAGAATCATATCATCAAAATTTCCTAATATGAGTTAGTCACCTAGAACTTGTGAAGCTACACCAACAGCAGTTCATGATTCACCATCCTGTAAAAATAATTTACGCGAGAAAGTTCAATTAACAGAATTCCCAATTTATCCATACAATACAATCAGCCAAAGCAATATTAGCTTATTTTGTGATTCAAACAGGTCTATTAAACACTTGTCTGGTGAATCTAAAATATGAAGGATATTCAACAGTCTTGCATCTTAGCAATCAAGATGAACACAGTGACACATATGGCTGTCCGATTTGTGAAGAGTATCCCTACGATGGTATTTAAAATATTACTACGCATCATATAATTCATTAATGCAGCATGTCAGACTGGACACAGGCAATTCCCCCCACCTAATTTCCTTTGAGTAAGAAGGTAAACATTTTTAATAAAAATAAATAAATAAATTCCTCTTTGGTCTGATTTTTGTTGTTCTTCCTATTTCCTTTTTTCTCTAAATTTCGTAATGGATTTTCCACTCTTTGCCCACCAAAACTCCTACCCCAACCTAATTGACCCCCAAAAAATCACTAATCTGCATAACGTTTAAAATTAACCTCATTTGCCTTGCCCCTATGACAAGTCAAACTAGGTTGCATAAAAGGAGGGACTATCAGTAAAATTTTAATAAGGGACCAACTTGTAGTTGTTTCCTCCAAAAAGGTAAGACATACACAAGTACACAATCATAGGTTCTGTTTATTTTAGAGTTAGCCACAGCACTATGGGAGTTCTAGAGTGAAAGTATGCAAGGTTTTCTCCATCCTAGTATTCTCTAGTGCGAGTTATCAAGACAAATCCAGTTTAACAGAAAAATCCACAGAAACTTAGCATTGCTCAAGCCAAAATCAATAACAATCTTAAGTCATTATATTTAAAAAAAAAATAAAAAAAAAATAAAAAAGGTTAATAGAAAATACCAGATCAAAACGAAAGAAAAATGGCTTGTGGATTTAAATATGTCCAGATACAATACATACCTTCATAAAGTTGGCCATAAGTGTGAAGCTCTGAACATTCCTCGTCCATATGCTTGTAAAGCATGAATTAGCAGGGCATATTTACATGAGGTTGCAAATTTTCCCGGCTGCTCCATATACTATTTAATTGCCCCAACCAACACAGCCTATTGTCTTACATGCCTGACTTTGGTCAATCAAAATAGATAGAACCTCATGATAGATCAAGCAGCCAGCATCAAAATATTACTGCTCATTTGATCAGAAGGGAGACTGACACAGCGGGCATGTTGACTTGTGGGAGGTTGAAAACCATTTATAGAGGCATGCAGCATGGAATTTGTGCTTGCAAGTCTTGCAAGCAAGACGCGGAAGACTGTGGTTGGTAGTATGAATCACACTGTAACAGATGGGGCACTCTTCAACTCCTTCAAATTCCTTGTCAAAGTTGCTCTTCCATATCCGTATAGCCTCAGCTAAAGCACCATTCTGAAATAAGCAACAAGTATAATGTCAATAAAGGGTCAGTTAGCCCCATCACTGCCTATAGAAACATGGAAGGTTTATAAAAATCAAAGATGTACGCATTACATATGATGATACACAAATTAAATAAACACTTTGGTATTCATCTCAACTTATGTAGGCAAGCTATATAAAATATCTTCTTTTGTCCTTTTATAAAATCTTTCCCAATATTATAATTACTTTCTTAATGTCTTTCATCACGTAGAACTGTAGAAGAAAATGGTGACCAGCAAGCTCATGTATTTCATAAAGATATGTTGTCAAGCATACACATTCTAGCATTTATCTGTTAAAGAAACGGAACAGTTCCAACTTCAAAAAATCGCCGAGCAGCTGTATAATTTTCAAATGATCAATGGGTAAAGAGATGGAGGCCATGCAACGTTACGAGTAGTTTTGTGTACCAAATTCATCTGCATTAAGCGTAAGGTATTCTTTTTGCAAAGTTATAAAGATGTAGATAATGTGTGCAATTATTGAATGAGTGTCAGTAACATATTGCACATATTTTCCTATCATAAACGCCCAACTCACTGTTTTTCCACAGTAAAGCTAGCAGAATATATAAGGACTGCCTCCTCTCTTTCAGATGTGAGCTCACGACTTTGGATAACTCATACTACCTCTGTTCTTATTAAGTTGCTACATTTTTTTTGACACTATTCACATAATCGATTTTAACTACCTTTTGTGATTTACACTAAAGGAAAAACATAGTCATGTAAAGATCTTGTTAGAATATTTTCATGTGTGTGTTTATTAATATCAAATCACTGCAAGTTTTGCTTATAGATGATTAAAGATATTAGTGATTGACATTGTACGTTAGCAAGTGCGGCTAAAGAAACGAACCAACTAAAAAAACGGAGGTAGATCATCAAAATAAGAACTTATGGTATTACCTGATTACGAACAAATGCCATCATGGATAACAGCCATTTTCTTTGCTTTACTTCACTTATGCCAAGACTCCTTGTACACTCCACATCCACAGACCTTAATGGGTAGGAAGCAGGAAGACGGATGACCAAATCCATACTGGTCTCATCCTTGGTATAGGTAGCAATGACTTCATTGGCTGATTTGCTTACACTAACAGCAAAACATTCGTCTACGAAATCAGATTTCTTTATCTGCATCATTAAAGGGAGAACAGAAATTAGAGATCGGCTTCACAACTCAATTAGAGAGGGTTATCATAGAGATGGGGAATTTGTTATGCATCACCTAAAAACCTCTAGATTAAAAACTTGGCAAAATCTGAGGAACTGAGTAAACATAGTCCATGAATTTAACAAGATACTGAAGATGCTAACCTGAGATAATTCATCTACCATCAAATGTGGGCTGCACCATGTTTTTGTGAAAGACTCAATTGCAGATGACGAATAACGATCACGTAAATCATTGAACCAAACCCGAACGTAAGCAGGGAGAACACGAAGCATTAAACCAAATATTGCAGCAGCAAGTGATGCCATTTTTTCTGGTCCAATAGGCCAAAGTGATTCTACTGCAAAGAGAATAGACCCCGTACTTATAGCACGTGTTGCCGAAGTTGCAATATTCACAAGCTCGGGTGGGGTTTCTAAGTCTCTCTTCTTTAAGCTATGTGCTGTACATAATTCAACAGGAATATGTTGGAAAAGACAGTCCAATATTGCTGAAGAAGCAGACTCCTCTATCTGTTGAACCAATTTCTCCCTATTGGAGGAAGAAGATGGTAAAGACACTAGATAGCTCAAAATTAGACACCAAGCAAGGAAAACATGCACCTGCACATTTGACATAGATGATATCAGATATTGTTATGGTTGGACAAGTTTTTAGCCACTAGGTAGTAAACAATAGGACCAAAAATCATTACTGAGAACAACCAGCCTTACCCTTTCTTGTGCTTCCAAATCCATACCTAGTACATCAAGTGGTAGTTTGTGTATCAGGCAATGTAGCCCCTCCCTCAGAGTAAAATTATTCTCGGAAGACAAATCAAGATCACGGGATTCGACATCAACAGTAGAACTTGATGAGTCTGAAATATGATCGTCCACCAAGGCCAAACTAGAGAATGGCTGACTTGAAAGGAGAACAAAAGAAGTAAGCTGCAAGACAGATACTGGTTTGGGGGAGAACAGGATGGCCATCAAAGAACTAACAGCACCTGTTCTTAGACCCCAAAGCTCAACTGCCTTAAAAGCTTGTTCTCTAGAATGTGTGGAGGACTTCAATGCAATCGAAGATACTAAATTCCAAAAGTGAGGATAAATATGATGGCTCCTTGCTATTATAGACAAACTCCGGCATGAAAGCAAACTTGAAATAGCTTCTGCAATACCAATTGAAAAAAATATCCGCAAAACACCCTCCTGGACCAGATCAATAGTTTGATGGCATACTTCAGTTTTTAAGACTGTTAACTTTTCAGCTTTTTCCAAAGCATTACATCCAACAAGCTCCATGACTAATGAAAATGCATAAAGGGCATTGGTTGCAATATTCATAAGAGATGTATCCAAATTCTGTATGATCTTCTTAAGCTTGCTTATCACAAGATCTAAGTTATCATCAGATTTATTTCCAGTTTCAAGATCCAAGCACTCAATAGCCTCCTCCATTGTTGTAACTACCAACTCTATCCAGTGCCTCAAGTTAGATAATACAAATTTCCAATCTTCTTCATCAAATTCCTCCCAACAGTACCCTACTGCAATAACCATCAAGCGTGAAAGCAGTAATGATACGACTGGCAGCTCATTAGTGACAAATAATGAGTTAGCATCATGCCTTTGCTTACGAAACACATCAAGTAAAATTTTTTGCTCCAAGGAACTCGCATCCAGTTTTAAATGACCTACATCAGCTGTTGTGCTTAAAGGATAGCATGACAGAACCAACTGGAACCATTCCTCCATCTCTGCAAGTACCCATAAAATGGTTTATCAGGCTAATCTAGATAGAAGAGAAGAAACAAAAGATAATATACAGTAGGTACCAAGAAATCGAAATTGTAAAATAGGATTATACAGAGACCAAATCCTAAATCCACCACCCTGTGACAGCCAGACAAGCTTGAAGAAAAATAAACAATTTTGCAATCTTTTCAATAGTTTAAAATGTGTACATGATGGTAAATGTTGAGTGACTCCAAAATCTATCAACTTACCTTCACCAGATGTCCATGAAATCAGGGACGGGAATGTCAGAGTCTTTTCGAGCCAGTCTTGAACAATAGTTTCTCTAAAAGAATCGGGCAAGGAATCTTTAACCAAATCACTGGATCCTTTATTATGGAACAAGAAGCGCGCAAGAACAGAAACCAGGGGTGGAAGAATCCTCAAACAGTTCATATTTGCTTCTTGACCTACATAAAGCTTGTTTAGAAGCAATTCCCAGAGCCCAACAGCTTTTTCTTGGTTCCATATGCCTTCATTCAATAGTGTAAAAAGTAAAGTCACCAGGGCTCTCAAAAAAGGCTCTTCAATATCATCGAGATCTTTACTTGAAGGTGGCCATGTATTGAAAAAACTCAACTGACTTTTTGTTCCGCATACAAGAGCACCCTCAAGCAAAATATTTACAGTGGAGTCAAATAAGCAAATTAGGCTACCATCACTTTCACTTTTAGCATGAGAGCTTAAAGAAGGCAAAAGAGTATCTAAAGCACTGCCATTAGGCCACTTCCAATTGCAAAGCATTTCAGCGACTACCCAAGCTCGGGAAAATTCATGCTGAGAAGAAACTAGCCCATTGCCTCCTCTCTCCTCTGCAGCTAAAGCTTGTAGATCAGAGCCAACAACCATTCTGTTAATACCCATTTCTGAGATAAGCTTGTCAACTAGAGCAACAAACACCTGGCTCTGCGAAATCTGCATGGAAAAAAAAATTCATATCGTGAATATCCCAGCTGCATACACAAATCCAGATATCCGTACTTGTGCCATAAGCTGCAGGAACGAAAAATTAAGACAACTGTGAAAGTATATGACAAGCATGTTTCTTAATAGTCAAGAAAAGGAACTTCGATTTCAGCATTGTTAGATTCATCAAGAGCTTACATTATAAACTAATTCATGTAAGTAGATTATTCACACTTTCTACATTCTTTAAAGTTTGCTACATTTCCCTAAAGTAGAAGTTTCATATAATTGCTACATACCCATTTTTGCCTTTTTGGTAATGTGTTCACTCTATCTCTCACACCACAATTTTCAAAGAATGAAGGGATAAAAAATTACAAGCATTGCAAAAATAAGTCCCATGAAAACAGTTTTCTCTGGTTGTCAAATACAATTTCCAGGGAATCACATGCAAAATACAAAAGCAATGCAACAAAGGTTCAAGATACATGTGCCTATTTTGATGGTCAAAAGGATGCTTTTGTTTATGAAGGAAGCCAAAGAACATAAGAATCAAGATTAGCCACCCTCCACCACACAAAATAAAACACACACATACACACTTTATTTTTTTATTTTACTTAGAAAAGCAACTTCCCATCTTATGACAAAAGCTGGTCAAATATGGAGATGGAGCTTCAATTTCCGTCGGAGTAAATTAACCAAACATTGTATCTTTCTCAATTCCATGGAACTAAAGTTCACATGTCAACTTATTGCAAAACAAAGAAAGCCTTACAAGCCTAAATGCTATAGAAGGCAATAGAAGATACATGAGTATTAATATAAGAGGAATATGTTCAAGGGCTCGGACCTAGAGAAGCTATTGCAAAACAGAATCTAACAATATTGTAACAATTGGCTCCTTGCATTTGTGCTACAGGGATGGCCCAGGAAAATGATATGCTGAGCTTACACCTAATAAGTTAATCCCTGTAGCATAAACCTATTCCATAACCAACATGATTCTCAATTTAGTATGTTTATTACCAGATCCCTCCTAGGCACCAAAATTTTGAGATACAATAAGAGATAAATAATATGGTCTGCACTTCATGATATCATAAATAATAATAGACTACAGATCTAAGGACTTGGTGAATACTTAATACACATAAATTAACTTGAAAAATAATACTAGAAAAATAGTGAATAAAGAACATTAGCTCATAGTATTCAGAATTTATAAGCAATATGGAGATTCCACTTACATGTATATCAGTTAAAACACCCTCGACTTTAAAGGCATGCTTTCTCTCATTATTACGGTTATCTGGAGTGACCCACAAAGGCCATGATTCATCATCGTTAAGAAGCAGCTCTACTAACTTCTGCTCCTCTAATTGGTTCAGACAAAGATGATTGCTAACTTCTATCATCCATTTGCAGCATAGAGATGTGATCATGCCAGCATCAAATACATCCTGCTCGAAAATGGCAGACCTAATGAACTGTATAAGAAAATTTCCTAGTGTCATCCGACTTTGTGACACAAGGCTTCTCCAAAATTGTTTACTCGTACTTGTACGGAAAGCATGCATCACTTTACCAAACTCTTGCCTGGGCATGATACTTTTCGCCGAAGCACCATTGTGCTTGGTGTCTGATGCTCTTGACACATCATATTCCCAATCAATCACAAAGATAATGCCTCCAATACCAAGAAGCAACTCACTTTCCTCGCAATATGATTTCAAGCTAAAAAGGGTACTTCTGAGAACTTCTAGAGAAGTGTAAGCCATCCTAACCACGTCTGCAGAATTTTGAATCTGTGATGTAGTGGACTTCATAAGAGAACAAGAAATAGAACCAAATTTCCTTACACAAGCAAAAGGAGACTCCATAGCATAAGCTACAAGCTTTCCAAATGCTTCTGTGTATATCTGAACGACGGCATTCTTAGACAGAAAAGAAGTATCATCCTCCTCTGATGTACCACCAAGTACAGCCCTGAGACATACAAAAACAAGTCAGAGATAGCATAAAACAAGCACCAGAACTATAAGTTTTAACACACACTACTAGTTTATATGAACGTAATGTATCAAGAATTTTTGCCAAATTCAATCGATAATAATACTAATAATATAATAATAATAATAAATAAATAAAAAGCATGGCAATGTACAGAATATTATCCTCATAAATTAATAATAGCTTGATAAAACCAAACTAGGGAGTGAAGAAACTGTTGGCCACCGACCAGTGTATAGAGGAAAAAACAGGAGATGGGCCATACCGTATAAACTGCAAATCAGAATCTGCAGAGGTTGGAGCATTCTGCATCATAGTAACAGCAATTGAATCCAGCAGTTCATGTCGCCAATTTGAAATATGAGAGATTGGATCATCACCAAGTTTTGACAGCCTTTTTGTCAGCTTCCTAGCCTTTTCAATAAGAATTGAAAACCTTTCAATATGGGACGATGCAGAATGGTACATATTGGTAGCATATGTGATAATAATGTTCCACTGCTGTTTAAAACATTTATTATCCAGTAATGCAAGCAAAAGATCCAAGCGAGCATCCATGGCACTCTCACTTTCACTGAAACACCAAGAGACAAATGTCTCCTCAAAAACTCTCAGAAACTTGCTTGCTTCTCTATCATCCTGACCAGTGGCACTGCCATCAACAATTCCTTCAGTTGGAACAAGTCTCAATACTATTTTCCTTGGCCCAAAGATTGAAACCACAACTGAGAGAAACTTAACCACCTCAACAGATTCCTGATTTCAAAAGCACAATAACGGATCATGAGCAAAAGCTGCTAAACCATATGATACCTTGAACAAATTTCTCTAAAAAGCTCCCACAAAAGGGTCAATAAATATGACATTACTCATTAGCCTATTACAATGCAAAGAAGTTGTTTCATAAAAGTACAGACTGAAAAGATATAAAAAACACAAAATCAATAGTTGACAGATATCTGGATCAATGTATGCAATCTACGATAAAATAACTTGCAACGTGAAACAACTCATGTCTAATCTTCATCTCTAGAACAGAGTGACAATTATCCAGCCATCATCTAGAAAATATTGACCAGAAGTTATTAGTAGAATTATTCGTTACTATATTTTTGTGTGAGTGTGAGTGTGGGGGGAGGGTGGTTGCACACTGCACAGTGAAATAAAGTAATCACTTGTACAAAAAATAACCAGACTTGTTGCCAAGAGGGAAAAAATAATTTACTATGCAGCATCAGCTATTGAAACAATTCTTTTGCAGTCTTCTTAATATCTAGTTTTCTACAACTGTCTGAAGATTCTAAGTATCGGCACCCAAAATAATTCAAACATTTGACTTATCTGCATCAGATCCTTCAAGGCCTAGCTGGCCAATCCCTACAATATGCCACATCAACTGTAGAAACATTTTTTTTTTTCATACCCCTATGATGCCAATTATCGTTAAGTATTCTCAGTTGACAAAAAAAAAAAAAAAAAAAAAAAAAAAGGAAAAAAAAGAAGGTCTAGCACTCACTGCATCAGATCTTTAAGAGAAAATTCTACAACCAACCTGAACAACCTTTAATCCCCTATCCAAATCATTACATAAGCCTTTTGAACTTCTACCGCAATTGGAAAAGGCAAGTGAATTTGGCCAGGAGAGAACAATGAGAACTCTTGCATCAGGGTCTCAAATTCAATATCACTGATGAAACATAAGGTGTAGCAAAGTTGCACTTCATTTTCTTATTTTAATAAAAAAATAATAATAAAAAAAAATTATTTGTAATAGCTTAGTAGCAAATATAGAGTACAAAACAGGTAATGTTGTCCTCCCACATAAGCAAAGATTACACTTTGAATCATTTTTTTGGGTTTCTGCAACTACAACTACATATCTTGCAAAAGCCCATTCCTGCTCGCTCAGAATGATTTTAAATAAGTTTATTCTATCCCACAACTAACCACGTAAGCTGGTCTCAAAGGGATAAGCACACTAAACTACAACCAAATGCATCGTAAGATTGCCATAAAAACATAGCTCCATAGCAAGCTTTTTTGTTTGGCCCCTCCAAACCCACAACAAAACATAATTGTAACAAGTCCAACACAATAAGAGTCATGAAATAGAAGCCAACATGGAACTTACATGGGATATAATCAATGGAAGAGACCTTTCCAGCATAGGCCCAACTAGATAATCCAAGAGCCAACTTTCATTTCTTAAAACTGCATACTTCTCCACCAACATCAAAAATTTTATGGCTCTTCCTATGTTCCCAGAAGCTTCCTTTACATGCTCTGTTTGCTGAAATGTCTCAAGGCAGCAGCCCTGAAATGCTTCACAAAATGGATTGAGCAGTTTGCATTCCAAAGAGTAGATAGCAGAAAGGACATCAATTATGCAGCACCCCAGATCATGCAACTGCCCTTTTTTAACCTCCAGTTGACTTTTGTCTAACAATCTAGAGGTCTCTGAAAGAGCATCTCCATCAATACTGGAAGTGCTGACATCTTCATGCCTTGCCTCAGAGTAGACCAAGAAATCGTGCCACAATAACTTCACAAGTACATTATCAACAAGAGACATACGGAAATTGTATATTGCATCGTCTCCACTACAATATCTGGCAAGAATAGAAAAGAATATATAAGACACTAAAAGAATCTGGACAAGAATTGCATATCCAAGGAACCTTCATGCCAATTACTTCCCCTGCATTCCCCGAATGAATTTCCCATTTCTAATATTTGGGTCAAACTTTTGACCGTAAATTCCCGTTAATCTATAAGAGATTAATATTTATGTGGGATCTTGTTGGATTCGTCACGTTTATTTTATTAATATCAAGTTTTTATAATTTTTACTCGCATGGAAATGGAGATATAGACGTTTTAAGACACGTCTTGGAGACCGTGAAAAGTCAAATGGGAAAATCATTCGGGGACGGAGGGAGTACTCCATATTAGATAATGATATAACAGTTCATATTCATAAGTAACATATACCTAACATCCTTCTAATTTCCTAAACTTAGCCTTGTGGAGCCACATGAAGGCACCAGGTTTTAAACAACCAGAAGAATACCATGAAATTGTCAACCCAGCCAACAGATCTACCTAGCATCTTATATGGGAGCTGCATCAGAAGGTTAGGAGGCGGCAGAAAACATTCTTTCACCCACACAATCCCTCTCCCGCATCTCTCTCCCATGAGTCCTAAGCAGAGCAAGAATAAAACTGTCCACTTATATAAAATTGCAAATACTTACCATAAGATACTTTCACGGAACCCTCTCTGATGTTGCAACACTCATCTCCAAGATATACAAGCAAAATACAAGCAGAAAACACCATACAGTTAACGAATAATCTAATTTTTGGAATGACATTATCTAAAAAACCTTGCTCTTTTTGAGGGAAGGAAAAGGAAAGGTAGGCTCCTGTTGCCAGGCACCCTGCACCCATATATGTTCCCATTGCCCCACTTTTTCTCCCTCCCTCCAACAATAATCTATATATCCTTTATTTGGTCATCCTCACTTTCTTAAATTTGTATGAATTGGATAGAACCAGAGGTACAAAACTGCTGGATCATTTTTATATTTCAACTCATTTTACGACACCAAATACATTCAATTCCACAAGCCCTATAGTATTTCATTGTTTCTTTCTACCATATCCTAAATTGATCTTATATGTGATCGCAAATCCCAAGTTTCTCTTTGAAGCACAGATTGAATTGTATTAAAGTCTGCCACAATATTTGACACCACCCAGAGCCTGGCCGCCTGTATTACCTTTATGTGTGCATCTAGTGTTTGAAGGAAGATATCTGGAGTTCAAAGGAAGACAAAACTTGCACCTAAGGTTTTTTTCCCCCTTCTGTGGTGAGGATTTAGTCAAGAAGTACCCGCCAAGGGAGTGAATTCAAATACTAAAAGGATTTGAACATGAGGAGAAAGAAAGGCAGGTTTGAATGTTAACAAGACTGGCTTCCTAATATAAAGCACATAATTCAAATATGTAAAAGTCATCATTTCTTTATTCTTTCCTATTTTTTGACTTTTATTGATACAAGTTCAGAGCTACAAAACATTTGGAAACAAACTACAGAAACCAGAAGCACAAAACCTCTCAGATGCAACCCAAGTGCTTTGTGAATATAAAAGTTCCTTTATCTGAAAGTTTAACAGTACTCAAAAACATGGTGGCTACACACTTCTGCGCTTTATAGGTTATACCCCTCCAACAATGCAGTAATCCAATAATGACAAACTAAAAGCTAAAGACCTCCTACACATTTGTTTTATATCATATAAAAATACATACCTTCCACAATTATGCAAGACCCAAAGGAGACATTCTTTAAGGGCCACAAAAAATGCCAGGCGATCAGCATTACTAGGGTGAGATGCATTCCTTCCTGCCCATAGGTTTTGGAAGAAGTCAACAAAGTACTTCTGTCCCCCAGTTACCTCAGCTGGCAAAGCATCTAGGAGAAGTACCAAAGCAGGGTATGACACCTGCTGTGATCCACAGCATCCATTTTTCAGGAACTGCCAAAAGCGATTTGAAAAGATTTTTTGAAAGTTAATATATGACCAACTCCCAGAAAATCTTCTGGTAAACAGCAAAAACGTTTCCCACAACGCTGTATGACAAGATGGGTCCTTTTCTTGGAAGGCACCAAGTATTGCAGTAGCAAGACCTTTAACATCTTCTTCACTAAAAACTTCACATATATTCTTGACGAAACTTCTGAGTACTGCATATGTAGCTGAGCGAACAGCAGGGCTCTCAGATTTAAGAAAGTCCAGAAAATAATGATGAGACACAAACAAAGTCTTGGCAGAAGAAATAGCCATATCTCGAGCTTTTGATACCTTTGTTGATTGAATGTTTGAGTCTTCAATAGCAGGTTTCTCTGATTGAACACCAACCAATACATCTAGTAGTGTAGCAAGAGCTAGTAATGATGACGATATAACCTGATAGTCAACGGAAGCAAGAAACAAGGCAGATGGACAATGTTATTAATGATTTCGAAATAAAAAGAAAAGACAACGAAGAAGAATCCAGGCAATAACATATGCAGGCAATACAGAAAAATAAAGCTAAATGAAAGTCAAATGCATGCAACAAAGCTATTTGAACCAAACTAAAGTCAAATGCATTCAAACAAAGCTAATTGAATCAAATGAAAGTCAAATGCATTCAACAAAGCTAATTGAAATTGAAGGCTATAATGTATGTAATGCATAGAGCATATACAATCATTCTATATAACATCTTAAGTTACTGTCCTTTTGATCCAACAAATAGTTACCATCCAAAACAAACTCATAATAATGTAAGTACATACAGTTATGAAGTATCAGTTGCCATCAAATAAATAACAGCTGACAAGCACATACCCTTTGGTGCATATCTGCTAACTCATCTGAAGCGGCAGCAAGATCAGCCATACCCTGCTGTGTAAGCTTTAAATTTTCTTCCAAATACTCAAATACCTCAGAAGCGCAAAATATCAGTGCCTCTAGTCTTTTCTCCTGGGTTGGAAAGGCAGCCTGTTTCCATAACAAAATGATATCAGGTTTTAGCCTGTGTCCAACTGAATTATAGTCATGCTTACCAGGTAACACGCATACAAACTAAATTGTAGATATTTTTAAGATTAATTAAAACTAAAGATAAAGTTTGACATACATACATGCAAAAAAATAAGAAATACATACTTCCTCTGTTTTTTTATAGTTGCAACACTTCTCTTTTCACGCTTGCCGATGCATGATTTCAATCGTTAATATCTTTAATTACCAATATGTAAAAATTAAAAACATTTGATATTAAAATAGTATAAATCGAGACGAATCTAACAAGATCCCACATGACTCAAAGCTAGTCAAAGTGAAACACATGAATAGTGTAAAAGTCAAACTGTTGCAACTATAAAAAAAAGAAGGAAGTATATACAATGCATAGAACATGAATAGCTATTTAACATTATCCTTCTGAAACAGGAGCAACAGTTATCATAGAACAAATGGTGAATTACTCAGTGTTACAACAGTCAAAGTCAGCTGGAAATGGCCATACCAAACGGATTTAAGTATGTAGTCCAGCTCGGCTCGATTAAGCCCAAATTAAGCTCATTTTTTTGAACAATGAATATTTATAAGTAAACATACCAGGGTTTCAAACTTAGTTTCAATTTATTCATGGAGATCAATGCATCAAAATTATCGTGTCTCAAAAATAGGTCCTCAGTCCCCTCGACAACGTTAATTTCTAGATAAAGTTTTTGCTAGCTAATTTCACAAAATTTCACAATAATATAACGTAGGAGTCAATCAACAAAATGCATTATCATCAAGTATGACACTCAAGAAGCAAGTCATTTTCCAATCGTGAATCCTACTAGTTAAAAATTTTACTACAAACCTGTAGTGATCGCTTCGCAGCTTGAGAAACTTCAGAAACAGAATCGAACTGAGCAAACCACCATGGTCCCATCAAAGACTTAAGATGCAGAGCCAAATCCCGTCTGCAGAAAGGGAGTAAATTGTTATTCTCACCTAAAGCCTTTTATCAGCCTCTGATGCCTAGACATCGACAATCAGGCATTGGGTAACAATCAAGTTAATTAATTCATTCTCCTTCCATAGGAGCAGAAAAAACCAATAAAGCAATTTCAATATAACTTGAAGCATGTGTTTCTTTATTAGCCCTTCTCTGTGTCTTCCCCTTCTCTTTCTAAATGACTAAAAAAGTTGAAACCAAAGAACAATACAAAAGTCATGTCTGAAAGAAACAAGGACTAACCCAGCAGCAGAAACAAGGCTCGTCATAGTGTCATGAGTTGCCCGTCGAACTTCTCTGTTGTAGTCCATCAAAAGCCTCCTGTATTCAAAACCCTGAATAACAAGGTACAGGTCAGGAAGAAGTAAAAATTGACCGGCATCAAACTTTCAGGATTATTACAAATAGAACTAAGCCAAATTGTATATATACCAGCTTTATATCACAAAGCTACATTGCCTTGAACTCTCACCACTGTCATAAGGTTGACCTTCATCATTTAAACAAAAACCAAATCTCAATGACTACTTTGGCCAAACCAAGTGACAAACACACCCCACACCTCCCTAAAACTATAACTAAGTTAAACAAAAACAGAAGTATGTAAGCAACATAGACTTAATTAAGGAATGAATTGAAAAACAATGAACAAGCTAAGCTGGTGGAAGATGTTCAGGTTCAAGAAGTGATCTAAGCAAAGTATTAGGACACAGAAAAGCAAATGAATGGAGAACACATACCCACTGTGGAATTATTGGTAATACATCCTTCCCAGACTTGTTCTTCAGTAAGGCTGATAAAGAATTTAATGCTTTTATCTGCATAAACAAAGGCAAATTAGAACATAGAAGTCTAAATCAAGACGCAAAAACTTTAATCAAATAGTTTTCAGCTCAAGCATAATTGGGTAGTGACAAGAAATTTGTCTCAGCTGTTAAAAAAGACGGGATATCTTCAAAGAGAGCAACCCAGAAAACATTTTCACACATATGTAAAATCAGGTCTCCACTATACTAACTGGCAGAGGTCCATGATAGCTATTTTCTGGTGGTCATTCTTTCGTAGCGGAAACAATCAGAATGAGGGAACTAACAGGAATTCAGAGATATCAACTCAGCCATGATCAAAGAGTAAAAGGAATAGTTCTTAAATGAAGGTCTACAATCTCATTTGAAATTAGAAGGTATGTGTGAAAACCACACATATTTTCCAGGCTTCCTATAAAAATAGAAACAATGAAGATGATAGATCCATTTAGGACAAAGCTAAGATTTTTGGAAAGCATAGAAGATCAGCATGTGATACAAAAAATAAACAGATGCATTATGTAAACCATGCACTGACAAAGGCACAACAGAAAACCTCAGGTAAATCTATAATTTTGAATTCATTATGCCTAAAAGTGATCACTGCATTTCTATAAATCACCATACACTTAATATATTGGGAAAGAAAAAAAAAAAGAAGAAAGAAAATTAACTTGTCAAGGACAGTAAAAAAACAAAGAGGACCAGTGTTCAATCTATTCATTAATTTAAATTTAATAGCATAATATACAAGACCAAGCAATGAATGTTTTCACGATAAAGCAAGCATTAGGTTAGTAGGTTATGGCTTCTGCATGTTAGCCAGTTTATGTCACAGCAGTGGGAAAGAAATACTGCAAAAAGATATCATAAAGTCATTAGGTGTAGACAATAACTTGGACCAAACAAGTGCATATGTTCCAAATCTAACAGAAAATCCAAAGAACTGCATTCGAAAATATTGAACATGCCATCACATAAAAATTTACACCCCAGAAGTAGGCACAGTAAGCAATTATCATGTTTTGCCCAAATTCCAAACAACTAAACCAAACTCTAAAATTGGCAAAGTTCACAATTGCTCAGGGAATCAGCATGATCAAATCCCTAATCAGACTAATTTGCAACATTAGTAGTTTCAGTGTTAGCTCTCAGATGACAGCAGTAACATGTCAATTTTAGTTATCAACATCCAACTAGAATTCGATCGTAATTACCTTTGTGACGGGATCTTTTCGAGCAAGTCTTTTCAAGTATTGTACCATCTCACCATCAACACCCTACATTCAAACACCACAAATATCTCAATACCACAAACCACAACTACATAAACCCAAATAAACAAATTCAAACACAAACTCTTTCCCACTAAAACATTAGGCATTCTACTAACACCCACAACAATTCAATAATCATAACATGAAATCAAAAACAGCAATAACAACATCACGAACTACTAAAAAAAAAAAACCGAAAATTATACCGCGAAAGAAGTGGATTCATCTCCATGTACAGAATCAACCCGGGAACTCCCCACATAACCTCCAAAACCAATTGGGGCAGAACCCGTAGGCACCAACGAAGCAGCAAGACTGAAAATTTTACAACAAAAATTGATTACAAACCTCCAAATTAGAGAAACCCATCAACAAATTAGGAGTAAATATACCCAATTCAGAATAATTATGGAGAAATCAGAAAGAATGAACAAAGAATTTGATGGATTTTACCTGCTGCTAGAAGCACGAGCTTTGGTTCTAGCACTTTCACCCTTTTGTTTTCCCATCGATTTTCTCTCTCCTCGCAAACTCTAGCTTCTGCGGCCGTGTTTGTGGGTGTTAATACGGCGTTTTTAGGTGTTTATTGCGGTGGTTTTGGGTGTTGCTGGAGGTGGCGCGATGGTATGCCGCCTTTGCTGCCGTCGGAAGAAAGTTGGAAGGTCTTTTAAAGTTTCTCCATTCACTTATAGCTGGAGATATGTCAAACAAATAGAGTTTTTTTTTTTTTTATTATTTATTTATTTATTTATTTAATTAATTTTTTACAAAGATTACTAACAATGAAACGAACAAAACCACAAACACTATCTAAAAAGACCAGCAAAGGATATGGTGGTCGCGAGCACGAACAGCCAACTAATGTGCAGGAGCAACCCAACTCTGAGGCACCTTTCAAAGCCGAATGGCGGAAAAGCGGGGGAGAATCTCCTAAAACAACCACAAACAAGAAATATCAGTAGAGCTAGAATGCTGAAACATGGAGACCGGAGCAGCACAATCCGTATAGATGAGAAGACGAAGAAACAGTTCGAAGATCCCACAAACAAGCTTGTAACTCCGCCTGTAGAGCAGTCGCAACGCGATTAGCCCTTGCTCTACCTCCAAGAACCGTATTCGAAAAAAACCTCTCGAAAAATCCAATCGGCGCCTACACGGTTATCCTAGCAAAACCAAGCACCGTAAAAAATCAGACAATGATTGAGATGATCGGAGGCCCCCTTGCAAACACAAAGGCACCAACTCATGATGCGGAGTAGGATATCATCTGTCCAAAGATAAGAGATGTTGTTAAAAATCTCGAGCTTGGACGACCCGAGTGGTCCATTCCTGTGAAAGATGATGAATCAAAGAAGGAGACCACACCACTTGCCAGAAAATATAGGGATTTCGCGCATGCCAAATAGCTCAGAGGAAGGAGACGGAAGACACCAGACCAACAAAATCCTTAGACTGCCTATAAAACGAAACCACAGCCACCACCCAGTCAGGAAATGGAAGAGAACCTAGCAAACTACCATTGAGTGTCAAAAGGGTTGGATTCCAAAGAGGATGAATAAAGGGATAGTCGCAGAAAAGATGTGAGGTTGTCTCGAGGTTGGTGTGACAGAAAATACACACTGGATTAACCGTAAGACCCTTAGAAAATAAAGTTGCCAGCAAGGGTAAAGCATCATGGAGTAACTTCCAACTAAACATCTTAAATCGAGGAAGAAGAGGGAGACCCCAGAAACATTTCCACCACGGAGCAGGAGCTGGAGTAATGACAATCGAAACGACAGATTGTCGAACTAGCAAAGAGTAGGCCGATTTAGTAGAAAAACGACCATCCCTAGAAAACTTCCAGTAAACAAAATCATCCATGGCTCGGTGAGGCCTTTCTAGCTCCAGAATGCGCTGAGCCGAAGGACTATCAAAGAGCCAATGAATCTTAGATGTGTCCCACACGCCGGGACGCGGAATAATAATAGAAGAAATGTGAATCGGCACCTCCAACTTAGACACAGAAGGCTAAAACTCAAACCTCCAGGATCCCAATCATCATCAAGGATCCGAACTCGGGAACCCGAACCCACCTTCCAAGCTAAACCCTTGTTCAAGGCAGGCTGCCCTTCCATTAAGCCTCGACAATGTAATCCCCCATGTTTTTAAAGTAAATTATAATATATTTCCTTATTATTTATACAAATATTTTATTTTGATTTCAATATATACATTACTTTATGCAAAATTTATTTGAACTTTATTAAATGAATAAGCTTTATTTTAAATTAAAATATTAACCATGGTTTGACAATAATGTTATAATATTAGTAGCCCAAATTTAAGTGAATGGAGCCTATTTTTAACCTAAACCAACATATTGTGGCCGAAAGACAAGTCATAACCTTATTAGGATTAGAATAAGAGCTCAAACACAAGCCCATACACTTATATAAACCTCAAAACCCTCAATATTCCCCCCCCCCCTCATTCACGTTATTTTGCTTCCACTGCTTTCCCCTACTGCTTCACGATTTCACAAAAAAAAAAAAAAAAAAAAAAATCGCCGCTGGTTATTGCTGTTGCTCAGCCACCGCCACCCACACTGCCATCGCCGACCACCGCAACTTCACCCGCACACCACCGGCGACCCAATTCGCCCCTTTCTCTCTCCCTCCTTCCTTCTTTCTTTTCTTTTGTTGAATTGATTCAAGTTTCAATCTTTATTTAGTTTTTGTTCTTAGTTGTTATTATTATAATTTGATTATACATATGAATTGCAAAAGATTACAAATTTTTGAACTTTTGCTATGTTTAATTTAATGACAAAAATTTCAGATTTAGTTTAACTAAGAATTAAGGGTTTAAATGTATGTTGATTTTTCATGGTTTTAGGGTTTAAAACGTGTTGATTAAGTTATCTAATTATATTGTGTCTAAATTATGTTAAAGCATAATTATTTTGATTATATATAAAATTTCATATTAATTAAAGTTTCAATTTTAAGTTTAAATTGTATTAATTTCATATTTTGATGTTCCTAATCTCATAAAACAATGATTGTGAGTATTTTATGATTATAAAGCCTTGAGCTTTAAAGTCTAATCTCAAGAATTAATTTTCAGATTATCGTTTCATGTTTTTGAAGCCTGTAAATACATTGAATTAGTGTATTTTTGGGTTTAAAGCATACTACCCTTCCATATAATATATGTAGTGATAAAAATTTCTATAATTTCAAGATTTCGAGTGTAAAATAAATTTTTAGATTTTTATAAAGCTCTAAACTTGCTGTAATTTCATGAATAAGTATGTATTTTAAGGTTTTTATGTAGGAAACTTAAAAAACTATATATAAGCTTTTAATTTTTGTAAAAGGGAAGGTTTTAAAGTGTTGTTTGATTGGATTTTGAAGGTTTTAAAATAAGTTAGTATTGCTGTAAATTTAATTGCTTGGGTATTGATTGAATTATTGTTGTTTGTTATAGGAGAGGACTTCGTAGAAGGCGATTTCTGATTCCTAAAGTGGCAACCAACTAGTTTACTCAAGGTACGTACAAGGATACGAAAACCTTGACTCTAGGAGCATGTTTAAGGACTTGGAAAATCTAGAATAATGTTAGGAAACTTGTGGATTGGTTGAAATTGTATGGTAGTAAGTTTGATTGGTGATTAATGTGATGATTGGTTTTGATTCATGTATGATAAATGCGTATTGATCTAACTTGTAAGTATTATTTATTCATTAACTTGCAAGATGAGCTTAGAGGTAAAAGTACATGAATATGTGGAATGAATTATCTTATTACTCGTTCATTATTATTGAAATGGAGTGAGTAAAGGAAAAATTGAAGTCTATAAGACGAGGTTGAGGATTTGAGGTGCCTTATGCACTTAAGGTGTTTATACACCGAGGTAGTTTCAAGGGTTCAACACTAAATGTTGTTTGTCACTAATAATTTAAGAATTTTATTGGAAATTTGAGTTGCTTGAATGATTAATGTTTGATTGGTTGTATTGTTTTGCATTTGAGACATCACCAAGTTTAAACTTGTAAATCACGTAAAGTGCAAGATGGATGCGCAATAAAATTCTGGATTTGTGTGTGACAAACAGGGGTTGGGGTACACGGGGTATTAGCCGTGCACTTTTCTAAAGGTCGTCTGATCTACGAGTCTAAAGGAGTTAGATGAGATCGCATACTAACTATGGCCACGGAGTCGCGCCCGTCCGCCATTAGATGTTTATTGATGTTTCTGAAAGGAGGCATGAGGGTTTTCTTTTATTGATGTTCCGAATTGGAGCATGGGGAGACAACATTGTCTATTGCTTAATCCAATAAATAAAATGAAATAATCAACATTATTTAGAGAAGTCTTAGTAATGTTAACAGATGAGTTATGTGTTTGAGTCAATAATTAAATTGTTGTATGTTGATTGATAATTAGTAGCATGCTAGGAATTCTTTATTATATTCGTAGCTTGTATATACTTAGTGTTGCTAATTGCGTGCTTTTGTGTGTCTTTTTCTTGGTTATGGCCATCGCTTTTCAATGACCCTGTAATGATCCAATCTTTACACTTGTAATATTGGGGAGCAGACTTATCATAGGTGTTTACATAGTTTGGACTTGCATCAAGGTGGTGGGATTTTGAGTGGAGAGTTGGTTATTGTTCACAGTTTATTTCATTTCTTAATAAAAGTTCGTTGGTTTTGAACTTGTTTAAAACCGAGTTAGTTTTTCCGCTGCTAAATTCTGAATTTGTCTTAATGTTTGAACACGTGGCGGTAGCACGTAGGTATTTACAGGTTTAAAGAGAGAATTATTGGGGTGTTACAGACAACCCCATGAAGAGCGGGAAATCTTCGTCGAGCCAAGAGAACGAAGAGAAGGGTATTTTGCACATAAAACCTTGGAAAGAAGAAGCTGAGGATGTTAGAAAATACGCCATCGTTGCCGGGCAAGCAAAGCTTGATTAACAAGAGTTGTATTGCGAAGACCCAAACCACCCAAACCTTTGGGAAGATGTAAGAGCGAAGCTGACCGAAACGCCATACCACTAGAGGAAGAAGAGGACCGCCGTTAGAAACGAGCCAGCATATTACTGACGTGGTGACAAATCGAGACTGGAACCTTGAAAACGAACAAGACATGATTAAAAGAGGCCACCAACACCGAGTTAATGATAACTAACTTTGCCGCTGCTGAAAGGTGGAGGGAATCAAACTGTGAAAGGCGATCAGATACCTTGTCAATCAAAACTCCGAAGCTTTACTACGGCCTAAATCCACCGGCATACCCAAAAAAGAGTCGAGGGACGATTGATGCTATAGACTCAAGCACCTCGCCAGGTAATCCCTATAATCTGGAGGGGTAATAGGATTGAACTTGACGAAGGATTTATGAAGATTGATCATTTGGCCCGACACCACACAGAACTGCTGAACTACTTGTGAAAGGTGGTCACAAGCAGCTGGCGAAACTTGAAAAAACAACAACGAATCATCCGCAAAGAACAAATGTGAAATGGAAGGAGCTCCTCTCGAAATGCGAATACCCTGAATCTGAGATAAATTCTCTGCACGTCTCAACAAGGATGAGAAAACCTCCATACAAAGGACAAAAAGATACGACAAGAGAGGATCTCCTTGCCACAGACCACACTGAGGCTGAAATGCAGGCGATGGACTACCATTTACCAAAACCTGATAAGAAACTGTCGAAATACATCAGTGAATAATATGAATCAAATATGCGGGAAAACCAAAGGCTTGTAGAGTACGCAATAGAAAGGTCCAATTAACTCGATCGTAGGCCTTATTCATATCGAGTTTAAGAGCAAGTAAACCATTATTTGACATTAACCTCCCAAGGACAAAGGCGTTCTGGA